CACCCACTTGCAGTACTATCCCACATGGGTGGGCTCCATCAGCCACTGGCTAGAGGAACGGATCGACATAGTAGGATGCCGTGCGACGATAATACTGGGGGGTGACGTAAATAGCGACGTCGGGTGCCAAAGAGACTTCGACGGTGGAGTGGTATGTATTAAGAACCCGACAGTAGGCCCAAAGGTGCCCAAATTCGAGAATTACAATGGATAGAGCTTTCGGACGATGTGTGCAGGGAACGACTTGAGCATAGTTACCACACACTACAATATTGGTCCTACATACTATGGGCACTCTGGGCACGCAAGCAGGGTAGACAACAGTGCTTTACCCACGGCGCGCATTACACGCAGCAGGAAAACGTCTACAAACAAATTAAACCAGAGGGCACCGTGGCCACGTCCCAATAGGCATGACCATCTCCCCCCACCTTCCTAGCCCCCCAGCTCCGACCGCGCCCCGACAACAGGGGCCATGCAGGGGCGGTCTCATGGAGTGCGTGCGGAGGGGGCACAAGAGGGCGGCGCTGTTCGACGCCATCGACGCGGATATCAGACGGGTGGGGGAGGCAGCATGGGAGGGAACGCTAGCACAAAGCACACCAGGCAGCACCTGGGACTTATTCGGGGGAGCCATACGACGAGCCATGCATCAAACTTCCGGAGCACACCCACAGGACTAGGTCGACCAAATAGTCAAAATAGCGCGTATATGCCGGCTTGAACTACTACGACGGAGGCGCATGATACGAGAGAGACCGCGTGTCGAACGTGACGACGGGGAATGCGATCTTGTGCAGACGGAATTCAGAGAAGTGATGGCAGCTCTAACAACAGCCAGAGCAATTACATAAAAAATGGATAGCAAAGGCAGTCGTACTAATGTGGTTGGCATATGAACGCCGAAACTTTTTGAGATGCATCGCCTACGCATACAGTGCCAGAGGGCTGGCCGAGGCCCGAAGAAGCGGTACCATCTCACCCCCAAGACAAGTTGGCCCAAAGAGTACCGGGAGCAAGAACTCAGCCGTCCCGCGCTGGAGGGAGGACTGGGCGCTGTATCCCTGGATCGTGAGAGCGCGCGCAGGGGGCGTGCAGAGCGCGTCGAGGAATGCATATCCCCCCTGCCAAGCGACCGCGACCTCAGAGGGATGGTGGAAAACGACAAGGCAGCCATGCTACGGTACTGCAAGAAAGCGTGCAAGCGACGGGCATGGCCAGAGTGGGGACTACCCACAGAGATGACATGGCTCCTCCCCGACCCCACCTTGCATCCCGAAGACCCGACAGAGTTGAGTGAGAGGATAGAGAGGAGGAGGATAGAGGCAGCGGGAGAGAGAAAAGACGAGGAGGACTTGGCGCACTACACTACACTAGGAAGGTTTCGCAAAGGACGACAGTTGATGCAGAAGATGGGATGACAGGAGGGGGCGGCCATGGGCAGAGGTGGAGGGGAGTGCGACTCAGAGTGGCAGCTACTGCTGCGGGCAGCGCGATCCCATGACGTTGGGAGAAGTGGGCATGCAGGGATAGGAGTGCCGAAGATGGCGAGTCACACATGTGCGTGCCAACCTATCTTGGACAGATTCCCCGAACACTGCAGGATGACACAAGTTGCGCCGCTGGACTGGCGCAGATCACAGGCCTTCCCTGCAGGAAAGAAACCAACAAGGAAGGGATCCTGGGTGAACGCATATTGCACGCGTGCGACTCGTTCGGCATGGCATGACCACTCTGGCATCCCAAGGGCAGGAGAGACCCCCCCCCCTCCCCCCCCCCCTGGGCGCAGGGTGGCCTGTCGCGCAGATGTGGGGAGAATGCGATCACATGTGTGCGCGCGGCGCAGTGGGGGGCTGCGCAGGGAGGGGTCAGCACAGCGACTGCCAACTACGACGGTGCCAACGCATTTGCAGCCACCAATCGGGCACTCCTTCGAGCAGTCGCGTCCAAACATGCCCGCGACAATGACGTGCGGTTCGCGGTGGCCGAACACTACCTTCGCGTTAGCAGCGCCCGATGGCCTAGTCGGGGTCGCCAGTGCCGCAGGAGCCCAGATGGGCTTCGCCCTATGCCCAAGACAATTTAACGACGCGTGCAACTTGTGCGTCGCCCAATGGTGGGAGGACGAGCGCAAGGACCCACGCCAGCAATTACACGACACCATGAACCCATCAGGCGGAGCAACATGCGAATTTGCCATCAACGCATTTATGGGCGACATTACAAGAACGCGCAACTTTGCAGCAGGCCTGCGCCGCGAAGGAATCGAGGAGGAGCTGAACTCAACCACGGCACAGCTGGCCACTACCATTGCAACAATGGAAACGCCAACCGCTTGGCGCACCTGGTAGGGCCAGGAAGCTACGCGGCGACTAGGCATCTTCGGCGAAGCAAAACACTTCAGGGGGCAGCTCTTAGATGCATGAGGGTACTAGGGCCATGCCTGCCAGCAGGCCACGGGCTAGCTGGCGAAGTAAGTCGACGTGTAGCAGCAGTGCGGATTGCGTGGAGACAATGTCGCACCTTCTGGGCATCTGAGATACCGCGACAGATCGGACGGGTGATGTTCATGGCGTTCGTACTAGGGGCGGCGCTCAGCGGTCTTACCCCTTTTACACTTGGGCGTTCCCGCGCAGATGCATTGGGTAGTGTGCTTGCGAAGTGCCTCAGAACTGCGCTCAGGTATTCAGAGACTGGAGGTTGGAGAGAACAGCGGCCGCCCTTAGAGCCATGCGGCGTAGATGGCACAGGAACTGGGCGAGACATCCTAGGGGGCATCGATCGGATGTGGCTGCAGTATTCGGCGCATCAAAGTTAGACGACAGTCAGGGAGTACAGCGACTCAGAGACGGCAAGTGGGTGGGCGATAGTTCTACCCCTTGGGCCCATCATTATCTAGAAGACCCCCGGGAACTTGCAGAGACCGGCGAGGGCATGGTGTGGTTCGAGACGAAGGGCTCGGATATAGCCTTACTTCAGCAGGGGGCCCCAGAGCGCTCCAACTGGTTCCAGACGGACCCAAGGGCACTATGCAGTCGCGAGCGAAATTGGGGCGTCCTGAGTAGGAGGGGGAAGGAGGAACTGCGCAAACCGCATTGGTGTGATCACGTCGCACAGGGCGAACAGGGACGGGAGATGGTATGTGGGCATGGATTTCCTACTTCTGCAGCGCTGGCTGGGCATCGCCGAGAGACGCGCAGCGTGCGACCGCTGGTGGCGTCCGTAATCGTCACTAACCAGTGCCCATGGTGCTGCATCACGTTCGCCAGCCGGCGCGCAGCGGTGGACCGCCGCGCATGCGTCATCGCGGCATGTGTCACCCACCGCGCAAGAGCGGTGCATCATCGCGGTATGCGTCGCAAAGACCGCTCCAGATGGCCCCGCGAAGTGCGGGTTCCCAGGGCACTTGCATGTCGCAAGTGTCGGCGTGAGGCTCATGCACTTGCGCAGCTTCGGCAGCGCATCAGGGGCCACCTCGCAGGCCAGACCAGATCGGAGAGCCCAGAGGCGAAGCAGCACGCGGTATCCACATTACCTTCCGCCATGGGAGACCCGGGCATGATCTGGCGGGTCGGGGGAAAGCGATGGGCTGGAGGGCCAGGCCAGGGAGCGGCAGTCCGAGGCGCCAAAGCGGCGAACTCGGGGCAGGGCAAGTGCCGCAGCGGCAGCAACCCACCCTGGCGGAGGAGGAGGAGGCGGCGGATTGCGGCGATCAGGGAATTGAGCAACAGCGTAGGCGACTTTTGGATGGTCTGTCTCACGAGCGACACCGTCCAGTCCAGCCTCGCGACGGGGCGCGAATGCGGGCGCGTGGCAAAAGAGCACGGCAAGGGCCGCAAACTAGGACCACCGCATGGACGCGTAGCAGCAGGTTTCGTGGAAGGCCCGACCGAGAATATGACCGACGAAGCAGCCTCCCTTCCAGAACATATGAAGCCAGTCCTGGCCACGCTGAAGGAATTCACGACGACGGTGAGCGGCGCGTGGGAGATGAAAGTCATGGCAGAAATTTCCAAGCAGTTCAAGGTGCAGTTGTCTTACCAGAGCGAGGAGGCGATGGGCGGCAGCGATCGGCTGGCGACAGTTACGTTCGCCATCAACGCCAGCCCGTGCTTCAGGGCGGCGCTCCACAAAGGGAAAGTCGACGAGGGCCAGATCCAGGTGCTGCTAAGATTCCAGGCGGGGATGATCAAGCCAGCGCTCAACGCGGCTATGCCCATGGCCCACCCGGGCGGGGCGAAGAGCGCGTCGGGGGGGGCCTGACACGGGGCCCGAGAGAGCCATCGAGCGCCAGCTCAACAAGACGCGTTGAGATCGGATCACCCAGAGGCACCAGAGGCCCCAGTCCTACGTCGCAGCCCGCCAGAGCTTCTAGCTGCTGCAGGCCCCGCGGTGCCCAACAGTGTCAGCCCTGCTCGCTGGCCACCGGCAGCGCCGCCAGAGACGAGAGAGGAAAACGTAGCAATGGAAATTAGCCAAGACCTAGTGCGATTCCAGGACCCGAAGAACAGGGCAGCGCAACGCGGTGGGTTCATGGGCAACCTAGTACGCACCGCTAACTACTACAGGGACATGCGCACTAGGGACTGTTATGCAGTGGTGCAGTAACCAACGGGGGGGAGGGGGGCTACTACTATCCCCCCTACTATTGGGCGAGAGCCAACTCTCGCCCTTCCCCCCCGCATGTGATCAAGGCAGAGGCTCCTACATACACCCAATGCTCCCAGGGGCCCATGGGACAGACAGTAAAGTCAGGGACGGCGTTGCCACATGCTGCCATCTATGGTGGGCTGTGGTAAGCGAATGTGCAATGCGAGTGCTGCACTATGGCAGACAGTCAGACTAAGGAAACTACTACATCAAAAAAGAACGGAGCCAACTAAGGTCGATAAGGGAACTGCGACCACGGTCGCCACTGCGGTCTCTGCACGTAGCTCTTTCGGCTGCAACGTCACAGAGCCGACCCAGGACAGCGACGCGCAGAGCCACCTCCAACGGCGATGGGCAGCCCGACGGGCAACCCACATATGGAAGGCGCGGACATAGTCGGCGCCGAGGAGAGCGAGAACCAGCAGCTCCAACGTAGTCGGCAGCATGGGGTACCGCCTCAACATTGCGCACTCTTGTATGCAAGCCACTCGCAATATCTTCAAGCAGCGCCACGACCCCGTCCAGGCGACGATCGCCGTGCTCCAGCGTCAGCAGGAGAGGCTCACCACCAGCCTAGGGCGACTGAAGTGCTCTCGCAGCGAGAACGCGCACGAGGGGATGGAACGAGTTCAAGGCATCGGGATCATGACGCACCAGCTGCATAATATCGATCACGCGATCCAGATCGCCACAGGGTTGAAGGGCGAAGGGCTGCGTTGAAGACACCTCGAGGCTCATGGGGGGCCCATTCCCATGGGAAACGACGGACTACGCCCGCAAGCAGAACGACGAGCTCGAAGGCTGCTACGCGAAGTGGTCGAAGAGCAAGCACGGGCTCGGGCGCGACATCGCCGACGAGAGGCAGCATCCCGTCCCTCTCGCGCCATCGGGAGCGGCCGCCCACCAGAGGCGCGCGGAGTGCCACAAGCCGTCGGCCTCAGTGCAGGGGTGGAAAGCCCACTATTTACTGATGGAGGCGCCGACCACCAATAGGGCGAACGGCGACGCCAGGATCACGAGCGAGGAAGTGGCCACTAAGGCGGTTTGGGGCTCGGCGTTTCAGAGCTAGAGCGAGCGGCGTACGCGAAGAGATCGCAGCCAGCTCCTCGACAGTCGTTTCTCGATGCAGCCTGCTCAGCCTTTCTCAGCCGCGGCCAGTGAGGTGCAGCACTTACATAGTCAGCAGCAGCAGAGAGATCGAGAGAGGGAGAGAGAGAGAGAGAGAGAGAGAGAGAGAGAGAGAGAGAGAGAGAGCGGGCTCGATCATCAGGTACCAGGCCGCCTCTTCCCCCCTTTATTGTGCTTGCCTTGTTGCAGCCGAGCAAGCGTTCGCTCGCCTCCTTCTCTCATCTGCGGCAAGTGAGGTGCAGCGCGCGCATGCGGCAGCAACAGAGAGAGCGAGAGAAAGAGAGAACGGGCTCGATCGCCAGGACCAGGCCGACTCCTTCCCTTTTTCTATTTGCCTCGCTGCAGCCGAGCTAGCTTTCGCTCACCTCTTTGGGCTAACGTCGCCCCCTTCATATCGACGAAGGCACCGACCACCAACGGAGTGAGCGAGGCAGAGAACCAGGCTCACGGACGAGACAGTCGCCAATAAGGGCGGCACAAGCGCAGAGATCGCAGCCAGCCCCGTGACAATCCTTTCTTGATGCAGCCTGCAGAGCCGTCTCAGCTGTGCAGTGGGGCGCGGCACTTACATGCAGCAGCAGCGGCAGAGATCGAGGAGCGCAGCGGGATATATATATATATACCCACCGGTCGTTGAAAGTAGGTATTTTTGGATTCCCAGATCCCAATCTACTTTAAGCGCCTTCCTATTTCAAGAATCTATATTTTTTGTTTTTTTTGGGGGCGGGCGCAAACCTAATCTACTTCTAGGGTTTGGTTGTCACTTCCCTGGGCGACGCTGGTCGCTCGGCCCCTCGGCTGGCCCCATTCCTTGGTTTTGATTGTTTTGTTTGTTTTCGCTTGTCCGTCGGCTGCACTGGTCGCCCCAGTGTCGCCCGCCGCCCCGCGGTCGCTCGGCCTGGCCCCACTATTTGGTTTTGTTTGTTTTTGTTTGTTTTCGCTTGCCCGTCGGCTGCACTGGTCGCCCCAGGCTCGCCCACCTCCCCGCGGTCGCTCGGCCCCTCGGCTTGCCCCATGCAATGGTTTTGTTTTTTTTTGTTTTGTTTTTTTTCGCTTGTCCGTCGGCTGCACTGGTCGCCCCGGGCTCGCCCACCTCCCCGCGGTCGCTCGCCCCCTCAGTTTGCCCCATTCCTTGGTTTTGTTTGTTTCTGTTTGTTTTCGCTTGTCCGTCGGCTGCACTGGTCGCCTCAGGCTCGCCCGCCGCCCCGCGGTCACTCGGCCCCTCGGCTGGCCCCATTCCTTGATTTTGTTTGTTTTTGTTTTTTTTCGCTTCTCCGTCGGCTGCACTGGTCGCCCCAGGCTCGCCCGCCGCCCCGCGGTCGCTCGGCCCCTCGGCTGGCCCCATGCACTGGTTTTGTTTGTTTTTGTTTGTTTTCGCTTGTCCTTCGGCTGTACTGGTTGCCACAGGTTCGCCCGCCGCGTCTCGGTCGCTCGGCCCCTCGGCTGGCTCATTTTTTTGTTTTGTTTGCTTTTGCTTGTTTTCGCTTGTCCGTCGGCTGCACTGGTCGCCTCAGGCTCGCCCGCCGCCCCGCGGTCGCTCGGCCCTTCGGCTGGCCCCATTCCTTGGTTTTGTTTGTTTCTGTTTGTGTTCGCTTGTCCGTCGGCTGCACTGGTCGCCCCAGGCTCGCCCGCCGCCTTTCGGTCGCTCGCCCCCTCGGCTGGCCCCATTCCTTGGTTTTGTTTGTTTTTTGCTTGTTTTCGCTTGCCCGTCGGCTGCAATGGTCGCCCCGGGCTCGCCCGCCGCACAGCGGTCGCTCTGCCTTTCGGCTGGCCTCATTCCTTTGTTTTGTTTGTGGTTGATTGTTTTCGTTTGTCCGTCGGCTGCACTGGTCGCCACAGGCTCGCCCGCCGCCTTTCGGTCGCTCGACCCCTCGGCTGGCCCAATTCTTTGGTTTTGTTTGTTTTTGTTTGTTTTGGTTTGTCCGTCGGCTGCACTGGTCGCCTCAGGCTCGCCCGCCGCCCTGCGGTCGCTCGGCCTCTCGGCTGGTCGATTTCTGTGTGTTTGTTCGTTTCGTTTGTTTTCGCTTGTCCGTCGGCTGCACTGGTCGCCCCAGGCTCGCCCGCCGCCCCGCGGTCGCTCGGCCCCTCGGCGGGCCCCATTCATGGTTTTGTTTGTTGTTGTTTGTTTTCGCTTGTCCGTCGGCTGCGCTGGTCGCTCCAGGCTCGCCCGCCGCCCCGCGGTCGCTCGGCCTCTCGGCTGGCCCCATTATTTGGTTTGGTTTGTTTTTGTTTGTTTTCGCTTGTCCGTCAGCTGCACTGGTCGCCCCAGGCTCGCCCGCCGCCCCGCGGTCGTTCGGCCCCTCGGCTGGCGCAATTCGTTGGGTTTGTTTGTTTTTGTTTGTTTTCGCCTGTCCGTCGGCTGCAATGGTCGCCCCAGGCTCGCCCGCCGCCCCGCGGTCGCTCGGCGCCTCGGCTGGCCAGATTCGCTGGTTTTCTTTGTTTTTGTTGGTTTTCGCTTGTCCGTCGGCTGCACTGGTCGCCCTGCGCACGCCCGCCGCCTTTCGGTCGCTCGGCACCCCGGCTGGCCCCAGTCCTTGGTTTCGTTTGGTTTCTGTTTGTTTTCGCTTGTCCGTCGGCTGCACTGGTCGCCTCAGGCTCGCCCGCCGCCTTTCGGTCGCGCTGCCCTGCCCCTCGGCTGGCCAAATGCTTAGTTTTGTTTGTTTTTGTTTGTTTTCGCTTGTCCGTCGGCTGCGCTGGTCGCTCCAGGCTCGCCCGCGGCTTTTCGGTCGCTCGGCCCCTCGGCTGGCTCATTTCCGTGGTGTTGTTTGTTTTGGTTTGTTTTCGTTTGTCCGTCGGTTGTACTTGTGGCCCCAGGCTCGCCCGCCGCGTTTCGGTCGCTCTGCCCCTCGGCTGGCCGAATTCAATTGTTTTCTTTGTTTTGTTTGTTTTCGCTTGTCCGTCGGCTGCACTGGTCGCCCCAGCCTCTCCCGCCGCTTTCCGGTCGCTCGGCCCCTCGGATCGCCAAATTCATTGGGTTTGTTTGTTTTTGTTTGTTTTCGCTTGTCCGTCGGCTGCACTGGTCGCCCCAGGCTCGCCCGCCGCCTTTCGGTCGCCCGGCCCCTCGGCTGGCCCCATTCCCTGGCTTTCTTTGTTTCTGTTTGTTTCGCTTGTAGGGAATGGGGCCAGCCGAGGGCTCCGAGCGACCGAAAGGCGGCGGGCGTGCGCAGGGCGACCAGTGCAGCCGACGGACAAGCGAAAACAAACAAAAACAAACAAAACCGATGCATTTGGCCAGCCGAGGGGCCGAGCGACCGAACGGCGGCGGGCGGGCCTGGGGCGACCAGTGCAGCCGACGGACAAGCGAAAACAAACAAAAACAAACAAAACCAATGAATTGGGCCAGCCGAGGGGCCGAGCGACCGAACGGCGGCGGGCGGGCCCGGGGCGACCAGTGCAGCCGATGGACAACCGAAAACAAACAAAAACAAACAAAACCAATGCATTTGGCCAGCCGAGGGGCCGAGCGACCGAAAGGCGGCGGGCGAGCCTGAGGCGACCAGTGCAGCCGACGGACAAGCGAAAACAAACAGAAACAAAGAAAGCCAGGGAATGGGGCCAGCCGTGGGGCCGAGCGATCGAAAGGCGGCGGGCGTGCGCAGGGCGACCAGTGCAGCCGACGGACAAGAAAAACAAACAAAACCAGTGAATTTGGCCAGCCGAGGGGCCGAGCGACCGAACGGCGGCGGGCGGGCCTGGAGCGACCAGCGCAGCCGACGGGCAAGCGAAAACAAACAAAAACAAACAAAACCGATGAATTGGGCCAGCCGAGGGGCCGAGCGACCGCGGGGCGGCGGGCGAGCCTGAGGCGACCAGTGCAGCCGACGGACAAGCGAAAACAAACAGAAACAAAGAAAGCCAGGGAATGGGGCCAGCCGGGGGGCCGAGCGACCGAAAGGCGGCGGGCGTGCGCAGGGCGACCAGCGCAGCCGACGGACAAGCGAAAACAAACAAAACACACACAAAACCAGTGAATTCAACCAGCCGAGGGGCCAAGCGACCGAAAGGCGGCGGGCGGACCTGGGGCGACCAGTGCAGCCAACGGACAAGCGAAAACAAACAAAAACAAACAAAACCAGTGCAGTTGGCCAGCCGGGGGGCCGAGCGACCGCGGGGCGGCGGGCGAGCTTGGGGCGACCAGCGCAGCCGACGGACAAGCGAAAACACACAGAAACAGAGAAAGCCAGGGAATGGGGCCAGCCGAGGGGCAGAGCGACCGAAATGCGGCGGGCGCGCGCAGGGCGACCAGTGCAGCCGACGGACAAGCGAAAACAAACAAAAGCAAACAAAACCAATGCATTGGGCCAGCCGGGGGGCCGAGCGACCGAACGGCGGCGGGCGGGCCTGAGGCGACCAGTGCAGCCGACGGGCAAGCGAAAACAAACAAAAACAAACAAAACCAATGCATTTGGCCAGCCGAGGGGCCGAGCGACCGCGGGGCGGCGGGCGAGCTTGAGGTGGCCAGCGCAGCCGACGGACAAGCGAAAACAAACAGAAACAAAGAAAGCCAGGGAATGGGGCCAGCCGAGGGGCCGAGAGACCGAAAGGCGGCGGGCGTGCGCAGGGCGACCAGTGTAGCCGACGGACAAGCGAAAACAAACAAAATCAAACAAAACCAGTGCATTTGGCCAGCCGAGGGGCCGAGCGACCGAACGGCTGCGGGCGGGCCTGGGGCGGCCAGTGCAGCCGACGGACAAGCGAAAACAAACAAAAACAAACAAAACCGATGCATTTGGCCAGCCGAGGGGCCGAGCGACCGCGGAGCGGCGGGCGAGCCTGAGGCGGCCAGTGCAGCCGACGGACAAGCGAAAACAAACAGAAACAAAGAAAGCAAGGGAATGGTGCCAGCCGAGGGGCAGAGCGACCGAAATGCGGCGGGCGTGCGCAGGGCGACCAGTGCTGCCGACGGACAAG